AAGGTTTGGTATGCATTCAACAGAAGTAGAAGAGAAGGTCATTTTCTGCAAAAGTGTGGCATTCGAAAGGAGCAGTGCATTTTTAAGCAATACGTTGCACCATGTTGTGCACCTTACAAAACAATTGAAGAACTCACTTTTCTATTGAACAGCCGTTGTACTATGCTTCTCTACTTATGGCTACCTAAAGAATGTGTTCTTAGATGGGTTACTTTTTGCTTTCTACTTTCTGTGCAGAAGTTTAGGAGATAATATTAGCACATTGTTACAGTAAGCCCTTGTCAATCATACACTTCGGTCTTCAACTTAGATAAGAGACAACGCAGCTTTTAGTGTAGGCCATTGCCATAAAGTCCTCTATACTGCTGGTCCATATGCATACTGTAAGACAATTTAAAATTTGTCAAGAGCAGCACTCAGCTGTGAATTGACTCCAAAGCAAAATGATGTACCCATGCCATGTAATATAGCTGTCAAAAGAAGGGGTTATCAACCATAAGGTATGACACATAAAATTGTAAATGGTTAGAAAAGGAGGGAGGTAGAGATATAAGGCTCCTCTCCATTGCTGTTTCTGCAATGACCTCATCTCTCTTTCACCACACTCTTTTGCTCTTGCTCTATTTCATTCACTGTCACTATCTTTCATACTCTGGTATCAAGCACACACTCCCGCTGCGTTTCTCGAGCACATGCTCCCTCATCCTCGGTCACCCTAACCACCTCATTTCTCCAGCCCTCCCTCCTCTCCAACTCTCACTCTGTACGTAATTCAATCATCCCAAGGAGATGGATATCCGTCCCCTAGGAGCGCTTACGCTCTCCATTTCCTAAAGCGCTTGATCAGATTAATTGATTGTCCCCCCCTCATCTCTGCGCCCCTTCTGCCGACTGAGGCTGGCGTGGTGGCGGAGGGTGTGCGGAAATCAGATTTGCATTGATATTTTTATAAAATGGCTTTTTCCTTCTGCCAGACAGATCCTGTAAATGGACAAAAGGGAATAGATAAAATACATGAATGGGGGGGGGGGGGTGTTAGGGTAGAAGCCTGCAGAAACAGACAGGCAGGATTTATAAGGAGGACCACAACCTGGAGCGTACAGGAGACACCAAGATGAACAGGAGATCTAGGGACAAGATGAAGTAGATAGGCGATCAATGAAATGAAATAAACAAGGCTGTTTGGGAGGTGAATAGTAAATATGAGGAAGAGTGTGCGACGCATGCATGCATCTGTGTACCATGATGCTTGGCGGCAAGCCTGCAGAGCCCAGCAGAGGGTAGAGATGGGAGAGTCAAACCAAGCCCCACAGGGAACGCAGGAAGACCTCAACTCATCCATTATAACTGAGAGCCAAGCGGCTGCCATGTCTCCTGATTGCTGAGTCCCCGTGGAGCTGTCTCGCTCTCTCTCTATCTCCCCCCCCCCCCCCCCTCTCTCTCTCTCTCTCTCTATGCCTCTTTTTGTCTCCCCCTCTCTCTTTCCCTCTCTTTTTGGCAGTGGGGATCGCAATAGATTACAGTGCTGTTCCAGCCCTTTGGCTTCTACGTTATGGCAGGGGCCAAATACACGCACAAACATACACTAGCTCATGTACATACACACACACACACACCTGAACACAAATACACAGACAGGGATAGGAACTCGTTCGTCTCTCTCTTATCTATCTGCCGCACATGTTCCCCATATGTGTAAAGCTTTTACCTGAGCGTGCCATTACAGCTGAGGCTTTTACCTCTGGAGAGCCAAATTACCTTTCAGATACAACCTTCCCTTTTTCAACTTGCCCTTGACATTGATTTCACTTGCATTTCGCCTGTACGTATAGTCTAAAACACACACTACAAAACCACTCATACACCAGCATGCAAGCACGAGCACAGACACCCAATGCATTTCATAACAGGTAAGGCTCATTTTATATTTGTCTGATTAAGAAAGGTTCTATTGATAGGGACACTAGCCCCAGCTGTGTACTTATTGCCATCCAAATTAAAACAAATATATGAGACTCCTTAACCAACATTAATGTATCTAAACACAGGATGTTTTGAAACCATAACATATGGTTAGGGCTGCACAAATAATTGTAGATAATTAGAAATTGATGTTTCCTGTTTCCACAATTAATCATGTTTCCCAAAACCCCATTATGCAATATTTTTTATATTAAAATTGATTTCAATTACTCCTTGTTAAATGAATTAGTTGGTATCTGCTGATCCCACTGAGAGTCAACACCACACTCTGCAGTTATATGCAAGTTCTAGGCAAGACTGCTCACATAAGCCAATTCTACGCTGTCTGCCCAGCGTGAAATGAATAGAAAGCATTTACAGAGCCAAAAAGATTGAGAAATATTTCTCAGGAATTAGTGGGCCCAACTAAAACTAAAGCATGAGTGAATGTTGGCCTTAGATTTCACAGGTAGCAATAAAGACAATTCCAAAACTCAAACACGCTTTTTGCTTTGTTTCTGATCAGTGTGTAAAGTTGGGCAAGTGTTTGCTAACGTATTTCAACAAATATTTGATAAGCTGATTTAGCGCATCAAATCGTATTGTTGAATGCTAGAGTCTACTCTATCATCTGGCAATCAAAGCAGTCACTTTCCAAGCTTTTAAGAGTTAACAACAAAATAAAAATCTGATTTTTAACCTACAGTGGTTTAAGTGTATGGTGTGCTTAGTACTCTATGCACTATGGGTGCAGGTGCAACAGAGCACAGATCTGACAGTGGGGGAGAGTCTGTATGTCTATTTCATGGCCGCACTGTTTGTTTGCTGCTGCGCAGAGGCAAACATGTACAGACAACATCTTTGTAGGAAGGAAGCTGAAGTCCTGACCTGAATACACATACTCATCAATGCAGACAGTCAAACTGATACACAGATACAGTACACACACAAAAACCAATGCACACACACTGTATGCTTGAGTACTCGGCCCACAAACTAAATCAACACACCATTTATTTTTCTTTCCGAAAGACTCTCTCTCTTTCTTACTTTCCCCAGACTTTTTATTTGCTAGGGGGCTGAGCTCTCAGACTGGGATTGATCCTGAGCTGCCGTCTTGAACCTCTGCCCTAAGGGCAGCTCAGTGCAAATACGCAGCAGCCCCTCTCCACTTACTCTGATCATGGTTACACTTTCTGTTCCACTATATCCACATATAAACCCACACAACAGATGTACACAGCAAGTGCCACCAATGTCTACCTGGAGTGCTTTAAACAAAAAGACTACTAAAAACTGAATTCAAGGAAACAGTAATCATAGAGCAAAAATGTAGGCCTATCTCCTCCACCAAAACCAAGCTATAAACTCTTTTGCAGAGGATTTTTAAAATGGCCAGAATGTGTGTAAGTATTGTGGGAAACCGATAAGCATTACAGCTGCACTGGATATGACAACAAAAATTTCATACACCACATTCCATTTGCTGAGAGCTTTTTCAGGTGCGGAGCACAAAAGAAATCCATGATTTTTTGTAAACCCAAAGATTCATTTTACATAAATAATTCATACAAAGGGAGCTTTTACAGTGTTTTCACCTGAAGACAGACAGCTAACTAGTAAAAAAGCTCATTCACCCACCTACCCTTCCTTCTCTCTTTGAAGTAGGAAAAAGGGGAGGAAAGGGGTATAATTTGTTTGATTCATTTATCATTGCTTACTATGAATAAATGTCATTAAGAGTGGTTGCTGCACGGTGGTTGTGAAGTTATGGAATAGCTGGCAGCATAGTGGGAGCTGAAATAAAGCAACATGGTGATTAGAAGAAAGCATCCATCCCACACACACTGTGCCAGTCAGGAGCCTAATGGTTCTGTGGAGGCTCGCATGTTGAAGCACACACACATACAGTACAAATACAAAATACATATACAATTAGTCCCAGTGTTTTGCTGCAACCGTCCTGAGTTCCTACAGAGTTTGTGATTGATGGATTCTGTGATTGGTGCTGTGATACAGGTGGAGCCCTCAAGTGAGCTAATCTACACTGCCTCCTACAGGATAACAGCCCACATTAGACCTGTGAATATGAGAGAAACTGTCATCATCACTTTCAACAGAGTTGATAGTGATGACGATAAATGGTGTTTGCTTAACACCTGTCATCCAATTCAACCACCACAACTGCTTGACAGCAAGGGTGGATTCAAGCAGTAGATTGTGTACAAGGTCTACTGTATCTCAGAGTAGTGTGTAATTATAAAATGATTATTTGGTGTTCTCAGAGATATTTTCATCATGGCATGATGTTTTGTCTTTGCAAACTTTTAATTAGGCCACAATAGTTTAGCATTTGCTCCTGAAGATTATTTAGTTTCATGCCTCGTGCAGACTATACGACTTTCAGCGTCGGCCAATGGCCGTGCCATTCACACTACACAACTTGCTGTCTTGTGACGGGAGTCTTGAAGTCACTGTGGCGTCCACACTACGCGAGCTGACGACTCCAATGCTGGTCTCCAAACCACGTTTTGTCAAGAAAACACACATGAAATGTGAAATGGAAAATGACGCGAACCTACACATGAAATAGCTGTTGTTAATAATTATAAAGATACCAATTATAAAGTCAAAAAATATGGGTGAAAGAATGGATTAGCACACGCAGGGATTGTCTGAGCTCCAGAGAGAGCTGGAGGTGAGTAAAAAGGGTTTTGCGGTGAAAAGTAGCTGCCTGCTCTGCCAGCTGCCTGCTCTCATTGGCTGGATGTGGATGTCTAGTCGGCCGACTCCTCCAGATATTGGCATGCTAGATATCTGGCAGATGTCGGCTATGTGTCATAAATGTGTCGGGGATGTGACCACTGATTTACCCCCAATCACAGCCTGATGGTCGCCGAGCTCGCCAAGCTGTAAATCGGGCTAAAAATCGTGTAGTGTGAACTAGGCTTTAATTAGAGTGCCGCTAACCGTTTTCATTAATAGCATATGAAAACTACAAGCATTAGCCAATCCTTACCAGAGGACAGCACACCTACCTTCCACGCAATGCGGTTTCCTTTGGTGTCATGCTCTAGTGCCATTGGGAACTCGCCGCGCTCGTAGAACTTGCGAAAAGTGGTTGGTTTGGAAGGGCGTTCCCGAAAAGCCCCTGCAGCTGGGGGACCCACCACCTGGTCAGACACAAAGGAGAAAATGGGAATGAGGAGAAAGGAGGAAAATAGAGAAGCAAACAGAATGAGACATACGCAGCAAGTGAGAGTGTTGTTTTATGAAATCAGAATTGACTGTTTTCTCCAACAAGAACAGAATCACTCCCATTGCATTTCCTTAAAAGTAATTCATGGAGACACATGTGCCTGCTCCTCTAAGAAAGGAAAAACACAGATAGATGTGCACTTGTGTGTATGCATTTGTGTGTGTGTGTGTGTGTGTGTGTGTGTGTGTGTGTGTGTGTGTGTGTGTGTGTGTGTTGGCCCTGTAGCCAGAGGCACTGCTAGAGGCATTGTTAGGATCATCTTTTCTCTGCCTCCATATTGGATATGTGCTATTACTGTGCCTCTGTAAGCCAATGGGACTCCTATCACATCAGCCACAGTGTCTGCTGCTATTGTTATGGGAGCCATTGGTCGTGGTAGCCATGGAGCAGATATAAGTAAATGCAACACACTGAAGTAGAAAATAGAGAGAGAGTGAAGATTTTAAGATCAGAAAAAAAATGTGTCATTTTCTGTCTTCTGTATGACAAATTGGTGTTACTATTCACTTTTACAAAAATTTCATTATTAATATTTTGAAAGATACTACAAAGATGATGTGTTCAAAAACCTCACATATTTTAGGAGCCTCGAAAGGGGCAATTACCCATAAATACCTGCTAAGAAACACTCATACTACATGAATGAAGCGATGGAGGGGGAAGCCACTTGAGGAATTTGGATTTATTTGATTGAAAATATTAGAGCTTTGCAACAGCATGTTGTAGTGGACGAATGACAGAATGTTGGAGCAAATCTTTTCCCTGTCTGTGTCCCTCGTGTGCATCTCCTGCCATCTGTGTCGCGCTGCCACATGACTGGCAGATGTGTTGCTGTCATTAATCCTCAGATTACCACCCATTGAGAAACAGAATTTTGCCACAGCAGCCCACAGGCAGAGCAGAGTGAGATTGGCATGTGTTATCTTTGGCAGGACTCCTTAAGATTGGTGTGCAACTTGAGAGATTTTAAAGGGTTTTAGTCTATTACTATGATCCTACTCAACGACATTTTAGTTTTTTATGTTACATCATTCACTAGTGTTGCCTGTTTGTTGCATAACTCAAAAACAAAACAGATATTTAAAAAAAGCCTAGAACCACAAATGTAGCTCAGTAAAACCGCCGCTAAGAAATGATGTAACATGGAACAAAGTTTAAGTTATACGTGTGACGTGGTGTAGCTGGTACCAGATTAGCTAGACTCAAGAGAAACAAGAAGAGAGGAGAAACTATTATGAGGGACTCTGAGTGAGCATCTCAGAGCACTCAATACATTCAAACAGCCCTAATGCACCGTGGGATTGCAGCACAGTCATTTCAAATGAATCTGTTTGGAGCATTTGTTTACCATGCCAGGGAATAATATTATGCTGAATTAATAGGCACAGGTTTGGATACCTGCAGGAGAAAGACTACCTTAACAAAATGTCTGTGACTAACAATGCATGTAAAAGACAAGAAAAAAGCCCTTTTCTGTATCGCCTCCTGTACTCGCCTAAAAGAAATCCATCAAACAAATTAAACATGTATGCCTGCCATTGTCTTTGAAGTCTCCTCCTTTATTTTGAGTATAATTTTAGCTGTAATGGTGTGTTTAATCATATACTAACAAATCATTTATTGTTTTGAAAAACCCTGTAAATTGTACATTTCTGAAAAAGAGAGATTGCGCCCAGTTTTCCTTGCATTAGATTGTAATCAGTTAGTCAATAATTGCTTGAATTGTTTTAACTTAGCTTTGTCATGAATAGTTAAGCGTCAGACTGCCTCATTAGAATAATGTTTCTGTCTTGTCACATCAAGCAATATAATAAGTTAATACAAGAATGAAATGCCTTTTGTTGTTTTATTTAGGCTCTGTGAAATATACATGACAATGATCTGTTTGTCTTCCCTCTTTTCTGTCTCTGTTCATTCCTTTCACGGCAGGAGTCGCTCTGCAGCACTAGCTATGGAAATAGGAAGCTGCAATGCTTGCAAGATCAGTGCTGCTCCAGTCTGCAGGAGTGACAAAGCCCTCATATCCAGGTGGGTACGATGGTGGTTGAGCCACGCTGCACAGAGAGGCTAAAAATAGCTCAGACTGGGCACCACAGAGAGAATGAACCCAGACTGCATTGACTGGCTGAGCAGCTTTTATGGTCAAGAATGATGACGCTGCAGTCACTTCCATGGCCTGCGTTCATGGCTGAGGGGTTGCAAGCTTCACAGTTATTTCCCTATTTTCTCTCTAATTATCATCACTGGCAGCAACCGGCAGCAACACACACCACTATCCAAAAAGGTACATAAATAGTACATGCATGTACAATGACATCTGCATGCACTACAAAAAGCCAAACACAGAAACCCTTTCCTTCGCTACTGATGTAGGCTGCTGTCCGTAGCAGCTTAAGGAAAACTGTAATAGGAACAGCGTTGTTGGGAGATTATCACGTGCCGGCTTCCTGATGCCATTCCAATGATCTGCCTGCTCCGGTTCTAATAGCTATAGCCTCTACCTAGTTTGTCTTAGAGTAGCATCACAAAAAGAGAGAGTTTGTTTCTTCTGTTGACCTTCTGGACAGGGCATGGCAAGCATTTCAGATAAGAAGCAAACAGTGTCCATGCTGTGAGCAATAGCTCTCTAAGTTTTGTCTTGTATGGGTGAGCACGCATTTTTGTTTACTCAATATAGACTAGCTGTGCTGATGACAACAACTGCTGCTGATTGTGTTCTACTGTTAGCCAGCACATCAGCATATTTACCTCTCCCAAACACATTTAAATCGTATGTTTTTTTCTTCCCCCTACAAAGGGGCTTGTGTTGTTAGATGAAGTGGTAAGAACGGCCCCATGCAGCACAGCATACCCCAGAGTGATCCAAAATTCATCCGTTTTAAAATATTGGCATAAACATAACCAGACAGTGAAAAAGACAGCAGCCTATAACATAGACCTACACAAGCAGATAACATCCCACCCCTCAGTGGAGGCCATAAAGCAAGCCTGTGAGGCGACAGACTACAGAACAGAGATAGAGGTGGTGCAAGGCAATAAAAGGGAGGAAGTGTCTGTTTTGTGTGCCCCTGGTGCACACATCAGGGAGTCATAACAAGGCAGTACTGGTCAGATGAGCTCCAGGCTGTCATTTCTCTCCTTCGCCTTCACTCTGCCCTCAGATCTGTTTCCTCCCTAATGCTGTTGTCCACACCAACTAGCTCCACTGTAAACCTGGCTGCTGCCAGACCCACAGAGGCAATAACACACAAACATGCACGCGCACACTCGCTCACACAACACACATGCCAGGCTCCCCACGGGCAAGTCCCTGCAGAGGTGATTGAGCACTGGCGGGGGCTTGTGATCCTGTCATTTATAAAGGTGTCACCCTGAGACACAAAGATGCTCCCTCTAACCTTATTAGTATGGCACTTTGATGGGTTTCTTGCCTGATTTTGACACACAGAGTGAGTGCGGTCATCAAAAGACATAAGGAAAAAACAGGGGAACAAACTCAATTAAGAGAGAGGCTTGAGGCGGGATAAAGGTGGAGGGTGAGATAGGCCAGAGAGAGACAGAGACACGAAGAAGCCGGAAAGAAATGGCACAAGAAAGAACAGAAAGACGAAGAGAGTGACGAAATCAATAGACAGAGATGGAGAATGGAGGAGGGTGATGGAGGAATAGAGGATATGACAGGAAGAGGGAGACAAGAGGTGTGGCTCATCAATTCTGAGGGTGAGTTCAGCATGGCGGGGCCGCTGCAGCATGTAGGTGATCCATCACTGTGCCTGGGCCTCTAGCTCTAGCGCTCACTCTCCCTCATCTCTTCATCTCTTTACCTCTTACCACCACCCCAAAACACCTCTGAATGCCTTTGATCGATGTCTGGTGAAGGGCTGTCAATTCATTGTCAACTCTGCATTGCCACCACCACTGCACTCCCTCAAATGAGGCCCTCTTTAATCTCCCTTTTCATTTTTTCCCATCACCCTTCTTCTGCCTCTTGTCTGCCAGGGTAAAAATGCATTTGTTGCATTATAATGTGTCGGGGAACAAGGGTGCCCCGTCACATGGGTGCATTGCATCACCTGTTTTCTGAGGCAGCAAAGGGGATAGGCACCAGCCTGCTTGCTCATTCGCTCACTCTCTGCATTTCACTGCTGTTTTCGGTTGAGAGGTTATTGAAATCTAGCTCGGTACAGAAGGCCGCCCTTTCTGAGGGAGGGAGCGTGGTAGGTGAGTCACAGAGGATGGAACAGACAGGCCAAGGCTTTCCTGATAAGGTCAGCTTGCACATCGCTGCCACAGGCAACAAAATTAGCTCTCTTTATTTACAGGGCATTTTCTGCCATAGCTCAGCCCGCTGCCTACCCGCTGGCCACCAGGGATACAGGCTGGGTTCAAGACATGCTTTATTCTCAAACTGAATTTAAATGAACAAGACAGACAAAATAATATTTAGGCTGTTAGGGAATCTCTGCTATATGGTCAAACAATCATTCAACTGATATTTCTGCTTACTCATTCCCTCTGCAGGGCAAAACACAGACTGGTGGGAGGCTGATTCCTTTCAGAAGAATAAATCTGCAATATTTGTGCAGCACTCCATTAATTTCTCATGACCAAACAGCAAGAAGTGCAATCAGTCTGCGAGTGAGTTTTCATTATGTGCAAAAATTAGCCCTGTTGTGAGAGACAAGGTCGGATGAGAGCAAGTGAGTGAAGAGCTCTCGCTGGACTGGCAAAACCACAGACTGATGAAAGGTAACAGTAAGAGTCTTTTGTTCAGAGCTCACAGGACCATAGAGGTGTGCTTTACAATTGTCACTGTGTCAAAGGCTTTTGCATCAACTATATTGTGCACAATGGCACAAGGGCAGGGATGTTTGTAATGAAAAATGACGACACTGCTGGGCAAAGACAACACTACACACCTCGTGTCACTACAAAGACACAAAGATGAAACCGGTGACAGCCACCTACTATTGAACTGTGCGCAAGAGAGGTAACTTTAAAGAAGAACTTCAAAAAGAAGCATCAAGCATTGAAGTGTGCCCCGCTGTGTTCTGTCTCCTCTAGTTTAACCCCATCACTTAAAAGAACAGCATAGACACAGGGAGACGTTAACGGGATGTGAAAGAAAGAGTTGGAGGTAGGAGTGTGAGGGGAGGAGTGTAAGTCAAAGAGGCTGTGTGTGAGCGAGAGTGAGCAAGACAGAACGACGGACGGAGAGGGAGTGAGAATGCCCTGAGTATTTTCCATCTTCTCTGTGTGGCCCACTTATCAGCTAGGCAGCAGGGCAGCCTTGTGCTTGCAGAGCCCTATTGGCTGATTCATATCACCAAACCACAGTTGAGATGATGGCTCAGAGTGAATCAGTTTGCATGGCGAAGTCAGAATATAGTAGCTCTTACTACTTGTTAAGTGAACAGGAAACCACATGCACTGAGCCTGTGAGGCTAAACTTGCAAGAAACATGCAAGCTGCTTGACTCATATACACTAATTTAAACAACAAATTCTGACCCTACCATCTAAATGTCGCAGCTGAAATCGAGACTGATCAGACCAGGCAACGTTTTTCCAAATTTTCCATTGTCCAATTTTGGTGAGCCTGTGCGAATGGTAGCCTCAGTTTCCTGTTCTTAGCTGACAGGAGTAGCACCCGGTGTGGTCTTCTGCTGCTGTACCCCATCTGCTTCAAGGTTTGACATGTTGTGCATTCAGAGATGGTATTTTGCATACCTTGGTTGTAACGAGGGGTTATTTGAGTTACTGTTGCCTTTCGGTCATCTCAAACCAGTCTGCCCATTCTCCTCTGACCTCTGCCATCAACAAGGCATTTTCGTCTGCCACTCACAGGATATTTTCTCTTTTTTGGACCATTCTCTGTCTATCTACTAATCACCACTGCTGATTTATACCCGGCTCATTCCTTCAGTATTTGCCAGATAGTCTGTTCACCCGTGTGGTAAACCACTCGTCAGGCCGAACACTCGGCTAGTGTTTCTCTACTCGTGTTGCCATCATCTAATGTGTGTTTTTTGTCTCAGGGGATCGCTGCTTGGGGAAGCTCTGCTCGTCCGCCTGTCTTGGAGTTTTTGGGTCTCGCTGCCTGCCGCTCTCGACCACCACGCACCAGAGACCTCAACCTTCATTCTGTCAATAAATCCTCTGTTTTTTTGCCCTAACCCTGTGTCTGCTCCTGGATCCTTTTTTGCTTGGCATAACATGTTGTGCGTGAAAATCCCAGTAGATCAGCAGTTTTTTTTTTAAATACTCAGCCCGTCTGGCGGCAACAACCATGCCAAGTTCAAAGTCACTTAAATCCCATTTCTTCCCCATTCTGATGCTCAGTTTGAACTTCAACACGTTTACATGCCTAAATGCATTTTTCTTTTTACATTGTTGCTGCCATGTGATTGGATGATTAGCTACTAAAACCGAGTGTGCACTTTCAATGTGCACCTACACATGATGCAAACACACACATACTGTATATAGTACACCACACATGTGCGGGTTGCATTAAACGCTTATAATTTGTCGTGTAATTTTGTTATAACCAAGCGGGAAGCTTCAAGTCTGAGAAGTGAGGCGAACACGGAAGTCCCTTAAAACTGCAATCTATCGAACGGCCAACAGGGGTGACTCCTCTGGTTACAAAAAGAAGTCCGGTTTCATTAGAAATAATGGCAAAATGACCAAACTTCTAAGCTGATTGTTTACCAGGTTAAACACTTTCTTTAGAAGTTTATGGTCTCAATCGCTGGTTTCATGTCTTCTTCAATACAGCATGATGCTCATTTCGTAAATTATAGTCTTATTTAGAGGAAAATGGACCATAAAGCAGAGTATGCTATAGGGCAGGACTGTCTTGTCTGTCAAGTCGTTACCATGGCGACCTGTCAATCAGGCTAGAGGGACTAGTACCCACAGGATTGTGCAAATTTAACCAGCACTGCTGAAAAAGCTTATTAGGGATTGGCTGCTCACTTTCTCTGGTGAGTACATTTTGTTTAAAGCCTGTTGTTCGCTTGACAAAATAATCATCCCGGTTAAAATTATAGTTAACATGAATTACAGATGCACCTCGCTAACCAATCTAGCTAGCTTCACACGGAGCCATTGGCTCCACAGTCTCATCCAAATATGGTCACGTTCGGCGCCGCTGGTTGCAAAAAATCAACATGGCAGCGCCCTAACGCCCAAAATTTGGCGCTTTTCCATTACCAGTACAGTGGATAGAAAAAGTCTACACACCCCTGTTAAAATGCCAGGTTCTTATGATATAAAATAATGAGACAAAGATAAATCATGTCAGAACTTTTTCCACCTTTAATGTGACCTATAACGTGAACAATTCAATTGAAAAACCAATTGAAATCTTTGAGGGGGAAAAATGAAAAATAAAAACCCTCAAATAACCTGGTTGCATAAGTGTGCACACCCTTAGACTAATACTGTGTTGAAGCACCTTTTGATTTTATTACAGCAGTCAGTCTTTTTGGGTAGGAGTCTATCAGCATGGCACATCTTGACGTAGCAATATTTGCCCACTCTTCTTTGCAAAAGTGTTCCAAATCTGTGCCTGTGCACAGCCCTCTTCAGATCACCCCACAGATGTTCAGTTGGATTCAGGTCTGGGCTCTGGCTGGGCCATTCCAAAACATCTTCTTCTGGTGAAGCCATGCTTTTGTGGATTTGGATGTGTGCTTTGGGTCGTTGTCGTGCTGAAAGGTGAACTTCCTCTTCATCTTCAGCTTTCTAACTGAAGCCTGAAGGTTTTGTGCCAAAATTGCCTGGTATTTGGAACTGTTCATAATTCCCTCCACCCTGACTAAGGCCCCAGTTCCAGCTGAAGAAAAACAGCCCCAAACCATGATGCTGCCACCACCATGCTTCACTGTGGGTATGGTGTTCCTTGGGTGATGTGCAGTGTTGTTTTTGCAACATACCTTTTGGAATTATGGCCAAAACGTTTTACCTTGGTTTCATCAGACCATAACACATTTTCCCACATGCTTTTGGGGGAGTTGATGTTTGTTTTTGCAAACTTCAGCCATGCTTGGATGTTTTTCTTTGTAAGAAAAGGCTTCCGTCTTGCCACCCTACCCCGTAGCCCATTCATATGAAGAATACGGGAGATAGTTGCCAGAAATTCCTGCAGTTCCTTTAATGTTGCTGTAGGCCTGTTGGAAGCCTCCCTGACCAGTTTTCTTTTCGTCTTTTCATCAATTTTGGACGCCCAGTTCTTGGTAAAGTCACAGTTGTGCCATATTTTCTCCACTTCATGATGACTGTCTTCACTGTGTTCCATGGTATATCTAATGCTTTGGAAATTCTTTTGTACCCGTCTCCTGACTTATGTCTTTCAACAATGAGATCTCTCTGATGCTTTGAAAGCTCTCTGCGGACCATGGCTTTTGCTCAGAGATGCAACTAAGAAAATATCAGGAAAATCCTACTAGAACAGCTGAACTTTATTTGTGATTAATCAGAGTCACTTTAAAGGTGTGTAATGATTTCTAGTTAACCTGAGTTTGAATGTGATTGGTTAATTCTGAACACAGCCACATTCCCAGTTATAAGAGGGTGTGCACACTTGTGCAACCAGGTTATTGTAAGGTTTTGATTTTTCATTTTTCCCCCTCGAAGATTTCAGTTTGTTTTTCTATTGAATTGTTCATATTATAGGTCACATTAAAGTGGAAAAAGTTCTGACATGATTTATTTTTGTCTCATTATTTTACATCATAAGAACCTGGCATTTTAACAGGGGTGTGTAGACTTTTTCTATCTACTGTACCAGCTCGACTCGTACTGTACCCCTCAATGTAGCTGGTCGTCATAGCAACGCCACACACAACTGCCGCAACGTAATGTTCAATGTGACACATACACCAGCGACCCACACAGCTTTCTCTTTATTTAAGTTAAAACGTTTCAACCTTACTCAGAATGTAAAGACAGATAAGCGGTATGAAAACCAGCTGTAACCTTCCTCTGCCGTTGTTGCTGCAGCGGTCTGTGTGACGGCGGGAGCAGAGGGCTCTGTGAGCGGGCGGCTGGCTGGCCTCGGGAGCTCCTCCCGCGGGTTGGTGCAGGCTTCCCCCGCCGCCACTTGCAGAGCTCCTCAACTCCGAAAACTTTCAAGCACATTTTTGTTCCGCCATCACTTCTCGTAAAACTGTCAATATTCGAAATCTACACAGTTGAGTTCTCACCTCAAAACTTCTCGTAAGTGGATTTAGTGATGAAATTACATACGAAAACTGTAAAATATAAAACTTTCTGTTGCTGCCTCTGTCTGGTGCGCGCAATGATGATGCAGTGAATAGTGACGATTCTCTCTGACCAATCAGTAGTCTGCCGTGTTCTCTGTCACATTTTAGTATCGCCTCAGCTCACTTGGAACCTCGACGGAGGTGATAAGAAAAATGTACCTGGAAGCAGGTACAGGTACAACTTTTCTACAATGGAAAACCAAACAAAGGCCAGTCGAGCCAAGTCGAGCTGGTACTGTGCAATGGAAAAGTGGCTATTGAGGCGTCAAAATGTCTGTGGTTATACCAACCGATCAACTCATCAACTGATTCATTACTCCCACACTAATGTGATATTGTACAATTTGATGTAACACCTTGTTATAATTACCACTATATATTTTATATATATATATATTTTCAAATTAAATTACTGTACTGTATATTATCCAAATACACTATACAGTACCATAGTACAGTACTGTACATAAAATATAGCTTACTGTAGTTTGAATTATAATTAAGCTATAACCTAAACAGTACTGTGCTGTTTACAAACACAGTAACATTAGTCGTGCTGGTGCACATAGGTTACTAAACCACAGCTTGAGGGTGATTTTAGTGCATTTCTACATATTTACAACGTCTGAAAATAAACTGTATCAATGCCGAACTGGTAGGAGAGTTTGAAAACAAACATTTGTAGGACTGATTCCGTCACAAGCTTTCTGAAAAATATTAGTGGCTGATCACTGTAACCGTGATCAATATGTGTTTTCCACATATCAACATCTCTCTGACCACTGCTCAATTTGTGCAATTTGTTTGAGTGTTTTAATATGCATGTACAGTACATAAGTGTGTGTAAGCAAAGGGAACAAAGCACACTTTCTAATCATGGGGTTAAGAGAGAGGGGCATGCACTGATCCAATGGTTTGTCTTTACAGTCCCAATCAGTGACGACACCTAAAGGTATTAAAACACTGCGCCGGGCCATGAAATTAATGAGACACAGAAGGAAAACTATATCCCTCACCTGCTGCAGTTGCTACTTCTGCTTCTGAGGAAGAAGAATTTAACTGAGCCCCAATTTTATTCATCAAATAAGTAGCTTCTTGTCAATAAACATCCTCATAACTGCATTTAATTTACAGCGGACCACCTCATAGAATAATTTTCCTGAAGTCGGTAACAACACTCTTTGTTTTAGTGTAGTTATGGAGTGCTGGCCACAGCTCGGAATAGCTGCATGACTCATCCAAAAGTTGAAACCTAAGTTTGTTTTGCAGGTAGTAAGGAGACAGTCAGCTCAGCAGATAAGGAGGCAGTCATAGAAATAAACAGTCAGACAGGGAGGCTGAGATGGGCAAGCAGGCTGGAGCCAGGCGAAGAGATAGGTAGATAGACAGTGAGACAGACAGTGCGACAGGCAAGCAGGTGACTGTAGCTGTGACCACGCACTTTAGTGAGGAAGCATCTCTTGGAGCTGTGGAAGGTTTGATTTGGCAGCAACAGGCCCAAGGGGAGAGGGACACACCCAGAGCAGCAAGAGGCCATCGATTTGACCACAGAGCCATAGACAGAGAGCCGCAAGAGACAAGAGTGCAGGTCAGTCTGCAGCCTTGCAACACCACCAACCCCATAGCCACACTCATTCACAAGTGTCACAGGTAGGCCTGCACTGACAGATCCCTGAGGAGTGGAGGGAAGCTTGGGGAGATAAGCAGACTGGCGAGAGATACAGGTTCTACCTCTGATATGGGAACATTGTTTAACAGTGAAGAACATTATCTAGGTGATTAGTATGTATTTCAAAATGAACCCCAGGCCCTTGGTCTTATCACATGCCCAGTGTGACTTTCTATTCCAGGAAATCAGTCTTGCTGCCTGTAAGGCCGTCTGTTAAAAATGATGCTGGAG